CTCTCACTCTCTCACTCTCACAAAAAATAAATAAATTAAAAGAAAAGAAAAGAAAAAGAAAATACCATGGCTTGGGTCTTCCTCAGTGTGACCTCCTTGCCTTTGAACATTTTAAGAGAGCTCTTTCGTAGCAGAGTTGCCCAAATGCACCGTGTCCTGTGTTTGCTTTCTAGAGCATTGATTGTGAACCCAAGGGAAATGAAATCTTTGACCACTTTGATCATGTTTCTGTTTGCCATGATATGTATTCCAGTTGTCCTGGTTTGTGTTTGCTTATTATGTTGTCTCTGCATTTGCCTCTTCTGGAGGTTTCAGATAAGTGGGAGCACACGATATTTGTGCTGTTGTATCTGACATATGTTAGTTCGCATGGTATTTCCATTTCTTATTCGTACCCTAACATCAGAATCTCATGAATGACTATGTTCTATTTTACGATGTGTCACGTTTCTGTTGATGCACACAGCGGGCCCCACCCTTGTAGCCCAATAATGCTGGAGTGACTGTGTACCTGTGTCTATGTCCCTGCCCTTGCTTTCAGAGTCTCTTGGAGTGGAATTTCGGGGTCATGTGTCAGTTGTACATTTCACTTGTGAGGAGCTGCCAAACGGTTTCCATGGCAGCTGCGTCATTGCCTGTTCCCATCAGGTTCTTCACACCCTCCCCCACCTTGGTAGTTTCCATTTTCTTTTTATCCTTAACTTTACATTGTGAATTGGGTGAAGGGTAACAGAACAAATCCGTTTTCCATTCAGATTGGTACACATTTTGTTTTCTTGATTGCAGTCACCACCATGTAACATTGCTTAGCCTCTTGCTCCTGTTTCATGTTTCCATTCCTCTTTCTTAACCCTTCCTGGCTCCTGAATGTTGTCTTTGATGAAGGTAGTGCAGTGTATGTTACAGATCGTAATTTACAGGTGAGGAGACGTGTTCCATTTTCTGATAACAGCCATTCCAGGGGACTTGGCCATTGTGTTGAGAACAGGTGGAAGGGTGAGAACAAACTCAGCACGAAGAGCGTCTTGCATATGTAATTCAGACGCGACATGATGGCTTCCCA